GCTAACACAAAACCACATATTTCATGTTGCATGTTTCAAGGGCATATATATGACTTCTTTGATAGATTTTTGTTTTCTTGCTTCGTTTTGGAGATATTTCATTTTGTATGATATGCAAAGGACCAACTTCCTACGTTACATATGCATAATGATTTAGCCCTAAAAACTGTGTATCTTTAATACGACTAAACACAATCAGTAGAAAACCTACATGGGTGTTGTTGTGGACAAATCTCGTGCTCATCATTCATTTTGAGCGAATTTATTTGATAGTGACAAATTTATATAACATTTTAAAGTAAGTCATTATGCATGTCTGACGAAGAAAGTTGGTCCTTTGCATATCATATAAAATGAAATATCTCCAAAACGAAGCAAGAAACGAAATCTGTCACAAAGAAGTTACTCTACATTTTTCAATCATCTTTCAAATTAGACTAAAAAATAACACCGTCAATTTTCGAATCATATATGCCCATGAACACTTGTATCTCTTGGTCCGTGAACAAACTTTTTTATTTTATATTTGTGTTCTCTATATACGTTTTACATGTCATATCAGAAAACAAGAGAAAAATCGTTTCTACAACTTATAATATTTTACATTTTTCGCGCATGCTTCCCAAAACAACATGTCTGAGAAGATGGGAAAAGACATCTTTGCACCACGACAATGAACGTCAATGGTTTTTGATTCGCTAAATTAAATACCATGCATGTTTTCACTTGTATATAATCACTAGGAAGACACTTTTAGTAGGATCCTTGTTAAAAAGATTCAATAACGGTTGAGCAATTGCGATTGTTTCTGTGATTCGTAAACCTGTCATATCTTCGAAACGAGTTCGGTGAGCCCAACTTTTTTTCTGTTTTTACTACTATATATAAGAATATCATAAACTTCACCCCTGGGAATTTTCAGCAAACTCTCATTTCCAAAGCAATTCTGATGGATCATCTTAAATAAACGCTGTTTTTTCAACCCAGGCTGAAACTCATCCGGGGCTGAAATTTCTTTGATGTAATCACTTGCTGTGTTTTAATAGGATTTTATTAGCCCGCGTGGCGCGTGTAGGCCCAAGGGAACTGATAGTGGGCCTGCAAGCAAGGCCCGGTATTTTGTAGCCCGCGTGCAGGCCCAAGGAACTGATAGCGGGCCTGCAAGCAAGGCCCGGCATTTTGTAAAACGCCCCTTTTCATAACACGCCCCATTCGCGCGTCAATTGTAAAAAAGAACCAATGACAGCACCCAAATATTAACAAACAAACTCACATTAAAATGTTGCGGGGTTTTCTCTGCTTATTCAGAACATAAACAATGTGTAAATGGCTGCGTTTTAACTCCAAAAAAGCAAGCAACGCAGTCAGTAATTGCCAAATTTGCAAGTGCTCATTTTCAACTAAAATCGGAACAAGCAAATTAGGACGAATTTCAACAGAAAACCAGTCCCAAACTTCAAATCGTGAGGGAAATCGTGCGACCACATTAGCATTACATTAATGTGTGCTTCGCTGTTGACATTGTTATAAATAAATTGTCTCACTTATCAGATCGTGTGTGCAATTCTTGTTGGCGGCGGAAAGTACGAAATTTATTTCAGTTATTTCATTTGGTAAAGAACTCTACAAAAGAAGAGAGCGTTCAGAGTCCAGATCGTTTGCAACGGCAATTTAATTTAATACCGTCTTCTGTTTCGCTCTCTCAGCGAAGCCTTGTAAAATCGCAAAGTGTTTCGAATAGGCTTACATGCAACTGCCTCTAAATCTTCACCGCGTTTTCTTCAGTGCAAGAACAGAGTCAACATCAACCAAATGATAATTTTCTTGAGGAACATATAACGTATCAAGTCTGTTTGAAATTAATGAAACTCAAGTAAAGGTTACTATAGTTTACCCCAGTCGTAAATCGTAATGTTGCTATTCCAACACTTCACGACAAGCAATCCCCATTGGCATAACGGCAAAAACATCTCTTCCTTCAAGTAAACAATAAACAGTCTGTTCTTGACTTCTTGTTCCATTTTTAATCGAAAAAAGTGATCAACTTTCGAATTTAAAGCTTATCGAGAGCCTTTGTGATGAATCACTGATCTAATTATAGAATCCAACAGCAAACAGCCAATCAAAATGCCGCGTTCGTGGGCGAACGCGGAAAGTACAAAATACCGGGCCTTGCTTGCAAGCCCACTATTCTTCCCTTGGGCCTGCTCGCGGGCTAGTGAGAGAAGGGAATCGAGAACACAATTACACAAAGTAGCCAATATATTGCTTCTGATTGGTCTCATTGATCTCTCTGATCTCCCATGTGAACTGTAGTGCTGGATGGAAATTAAGTTCTTTGTACGTTTGCATGGCAATAAAACATATAATAGTTTTGTTTGTGGAAACACCACGTAAATTTATTACTGCAAAATAAATTTATATTTATTTATTTATTTATATTTATTTGCAGTAATAAATTTACGTGGTGTTTCCACAAACAAAACTATTATATGGATGGAAATTATTAACAAAGTAATAAAACACTTCAATTCGACACGAGAATATGATGCTGTGTCAAGACAGTCATCTATGCACCTACCAAGGTAATCAGATGTGGAATCATTATATTGTTCAAATATCTGTTTCTCCAAAAAACCAACAAATAAGTTAGTATAGTTCGAACCCTTACTTCCAAACTAGGCACTGTCGACGCCTATGGAATATTAAAAATGAACTTTATATAGTCCTCAATTATCCATAGGTAATATATGCTGTAATGTGATTTACATTTTTTACTTTGTTTTTGACCAAATCCATCTCATTGACATTGGTCTATTTTTTGTCATGAGATCGCTTTTATGAATTCATTAGTATAAAAACACTTGTGTTTTCCCAATTCATGACTTCAAAACTTGTATTTTTCAGGTGGTTGATTCCCTCTCAATCCACACTGATTATCTGGTATTATTGTCACTACCTACGTTATGCACAGATCGTTCGAGTTCATCGAATGAGCCTGTCGAGATATATATTTATTTATTTTATTAGCACTTGTTTTTACCGAGTTAGGTACACCACTCTGTGCCCAAAACGTATGACTATTGTACAAAGGTTCGTACGAGGCTCAAAAGTCTTATATAGACAATAAAAATCATGTTAAACCAAGATGACGCAAACAATGTGTAGGACTTTAATGACAACTTTTCCACAACGCATTTGAGCTGAAAGGAAAACGTTTTACTGATTGCCTATAATAAATCTCACTTACCCCAGAGAAAAGACCTACAGTAGGGTGTTGAATAATGTGTATATAGTATGTGTCTCAAAAGTCTGATGACCACCACTACCCCTGAATATACATTCTGTGTTGAACATTTTACAAATCATGCATTGGCATGAAGTTACAACAGATAGAGCTGTGTGCCACCAGTATATCAGAATAAAAAATAGGCCGTAAGGCGTACGAGGCCATCACAATTATACAGTATAAAGTGATCAGCCACTCCAATTACTGTACGTGCATGAAAAGCTTGAATAATAACAACTATACAGTATAGTTACTGTTTTAGACCCTAGTTCTGCCTTTTACACTGTATGCCAAAAGGTAACAAATTGAAGTGTTTAACATCATAATGATTAATGTTTAAGTTTCCCATAAACAATTAACCCATTTTAAAGGGAGTCAAGGAATTTGTGAGTTCAAGATCAAATTAAGTTATAACTGACTTGAATGTAAATATGGCCCTGTAAGGGGCTATGTTTAGGCCACTATTTGTTGCATATTAGTTTTGCATATGTTTATACCATTTTCTGTTTTGAATTTTCATTAATTTCCACTACAATATTAAAAAGTAAAACAATGACTTAAATGCTAAAATATAAAATGATACGTGTCATAAAATGATGAGATTTGAAAAACTGCCAAAATTAAGCGTGGAATATAAATGGCATGTAAGTAGAAAAATCATCAAAATTTCGTTTGTGAATGCTTTTTTTGTAATATTTAATGGTCAAAATGTCAACAAGGCAGCTGCTTAAGAAGGCAATGCGGATGAGGGGTCAGAAACAAATATTTAACAAGTAGCATGCATCCTTTCGGAATAATTAAGCTTTGGATCTGGGGTTAGTATAGGATCATCTATCATTATTAATCAGGGATCGAAATAACGGGCAACCTCGTTCCCAGGCTCTTTCCTCTTGTGAAGCAAGACCCTGGTCGGAGCTGGTCACGTGAACCCCCAGATTTTGAGGGTAAATTGAATTTGATCTCAGGGAGGGGTAGTAGAGGAATCCGTTTGTTGCGTTTGCAAAATTGCAACTTTATGTGTTATAATTTCGGGTGATAAAAATGTAATTTGCAACAAGAGATTGTGAAAGGAACTGTTCTAAATTCGTACCGATCATGACAAGACTTCCTGCTATACTGAATGTCATCAATAAT